AATGATGTAATCAATGATGTAAGATGCCAATAATTTTGCCTCAATCAGATGTATAAATAGAAGCATTAGGGCTACAGAAAGACAGAACGAATTTGAGCACCCAGTTTTATAAGAAAGCCAAAAACCTTCTATCAATTTTGTATCAAATTCAAATATATCAATACCACCAATTTTTGAATAGATCATTCACATTTCAATCATCTGAGAAAGATATGAATTTCTAAACCACTTTTTACATAGATTCTTGAAGGATTAAGGGAAAGATTTCTTTCTTATTTTAACAAAATGAGAGTTTTCCTTATTTAAGATATATAGTTTTAATTCTTAGAAAAGATACAGTGAGAGCAAAAGTTGGAATAACAAGGATCCCGTGCAGGCAGGAGGCCGTTGAAAGGAGTAGTTTGCAAATCCAGAAGTTTGAAGGTCACTCTGTTATAAGAATAAAAGTCTAAGATCAAAACTAAGGTAACACTATTAGTTTTGTTAAATTTGGAAAAAAAATTCCTTAGATCTTAAAAGAATAATAGGGAGTATTCATATTGTAGGGAGTATTCATATTGATGTTCATCATAATGCATGTTTTGTTATCAGTTAATGGTTAAAATGCCAGAATATACTATAAAAGGATTAGATAAACTGTTAGACAAAATGTTAGAAAAAATAAAAAATATTGCAGATCAAAAAGAAAATATGAATATATTATCTGAAAAATATGAAAAACTAAACAAAGTACATGATAAATATGTTACAGATTACTCTAATTTGTTGATCACAGAATGGAACTATATATTATAATTATAATTAGAAATATAAGAAATATAAGATAGACTAATTTTTGAACCTATGATAAAAGAAGGATATATCATGCAAAATCAAAGAATTCATTTCATTATGGTAATATAGTTTTTTCCATAAAAAATCTAAAAGACATAATTGATCTGGCTAAATTGAAAAATCTCCCAGATAGAAGCTTTGAGGAATTATTAAGAGGACAAAAGCGTCATATCACACCTTGAAAACCCTTGATATAGGACCGGCATCTCCTGACTGCGTTCCACCCCATGGCTAACCCGGAAACACCCGGAAACATCAACTCTAGCCCCAACCCTAACACAAGTCTTCCAGTAGCGACAGAACCGCTTCCGTATCCACCGCCTTCTTCGGCTACGATGACGTCTGATAATCCAAGCGGTTCCACTACTGCTGTTAATACCAGGAACAATCTCAAGAGGCCTCGCGAAGAGGATACAGCGGAAGGTGCGGCAGTGGAGACTTCAACCGATGTTCCGGCACCCAAGCGTCGTGTGAAGGCGACGCATGACGTTATATACCGCATCGTGGTGCCTTCGAGGCAGATCGGGAAAGTCATAGGAAGAGTGGGGCATCGTATTCAGAAGATTCGAGATGATTCTAAAGCCACTATTAAGATTGCCGATGCTATTTCCGTGCGTAAATAGTGTCGTCTTGATTGAATTTATTTTTTCCATTGTGTTTCGTGATAATTTTCATGTTTTTCTTGATAAATTGGAACGGGAGAGGAGACGATGATTTAATTCTGACCGTGAATCCTTAGTTTTTTCCATTGATGTAATAAATTGAGTAAGAATTGAGCTCATTTGAGGTGTGGAAGTCTGGAAAGAAGGGCAATTAGTTTGGTCATTAGTACTCTTGAATGGAATTTTGGGGCAATTAAAAAAAGTGCTTAATTAGTAACCTTTTGTTTCTAAATGTACAAAATGATGTACAGATTTTTATTTTTTAAAATATTTCTTACTCTGAAAAATAAATGTACATGAGATGGAAAGGGAGAAAATAATATAAACGAACCATTTAGCTGAAAAAGCTAAGTGGAACCTGCAGTGTGGAAGGGAAAGTGAATTTTTGCTTTCAACATTCTTGTCGATGCTGAGAATCTGAGTAAGCATAGGCATTTCTAGTAACTATAAAGTTTGAAGTAAAACAGGCGAAAAGGGAAGTATGAAGGAATTATAGTCTATCAGCTGCAGAGAAGTTTTTGTATGTTGGAAGATCATTTCATGTTATTTTAGATGATCCTGTTTGGGTGATAATTAGCCTTTGCATGTAAAAGACATTTTTAAAATATAAGATAGAAATATGATGTGCGACAGTCTTGTTTGTTGTTTGGCCAAGTAGTATTCTTTAATAGACAAATGAATCAAAGTCCATTTTTGGCGGATTGGCTAGTGCTACTGGACATTTTCAACTTCTGTACTTATCCATATTATGGATTATTTTTGTAGTAGATCTTCCTGACCTTTTTTTTAATTACCTGACATTAATATGCAATAGTTCAATTTACTTCTAGATTTTTTGTTTTACAGAGACATGAAGAGCGAGTGATCATTATAAGTTCTAAAGACAGTGACAACGTATTCTCTGATGCGGAAAATGCTCTTCATCAAATTGTCAGTCTGATCCTCAAGGTAATGTGATATCATACTATAGGTTATTGGATTTGAAGTTAAATTTTTTAAAGTTCTCGTCTACATTGCCACTTTTTGCTCATGGTGTGAGTGTTGTTGCATTTCCATCGTAGGAGGGTATGAGCGAATGTGTGGGTTTAGGTTCTTGTAACTATTCAAGTTTCTTCTTTATCATGTGAGCATCATTTATATGCCCGGGGGGGGGGGGGGGGGGGGGGTAATGCTTTGGTAAATCAATGAATACGTCATCATTTCTTCCCGTTTTGACAATAGCGGGTCGTGACTGGGGAACCATAAACAACTTGTTTCTTGAAGAAAGCACTAACACGCATTCGGCACTGGCAAGATGGTGCCTGACATGTTTCTGGCATCTTCACGTGTCAAATACGTCAGGTGGTGTGTCAAATGTTCTCCCTTGTTTTCTGTTGTGTTTGACGCCACGGACACACCTCTGGCTCACCTATGAAAGTCGTCGACACGCCATGAATACTTATAGATGATCGAAAAGAAAAATGATAAACAAACTCAGTCTATCGTCTTCTTCCTTTTCCGGTAGCTAAATCGCAAGCCTTTGATCTCGTGACCACCAATTGACCAATCGGCCTTGGGCTGTTTTCATTTTATCACTTCAGATTACGCTAATGGCGAAAGAAACACTAGTTGAAGCAAATCGACTTTTCTGATTTCTAAAGGAAGACATACCTTAATCGACTTGTCTTACCTTAATCGACTTGTCTTATTTAGAAAGGTCAAGCAGTGTGTTTTATTTGTTAAGTAGAGAAAGCGACTTTTTTAGAAGATAATGGCACGCCGTATTAAATATCAACCATTTTTTGAAGGGAAATATCAATCAATTGGGAGGGAATTACTTGATTTAACCTCTTTGTTCTTGGAAGGATGCAACTTTCTTTTATATATATAATCATAAAAGATTTAAAAATTATCATTATATCCCTAAGGGCTATAAAGCAATTGCCCTTTTTTTTAATTTGAAATTATGGCACCTAATTTTCACAGTATCAATATCTTAGATGCTTTAAACTGTATAGTTGAAACAAGGTTAGAGAAATATTATTTTAATTAACATGTCAGCACTTTTCTAGAAAATTGCATGTGTTTTTCCATTTCCATGATTCATAGAGAAACAAGAGATACTCGTGAATATGTTGAAAACGAACCATTTAAGAACATACATATTTAGAAATGACGTTGCCTCGCTAAGCCTCCGTTTGGATACAAATTTATAAAATCAGTGAAGGTTGTCAGATATTAATTTTAACCAAACATTCATAGTTACTACTCATTATTCACACATTTCGTGGGATCCAGTATTATTCTCTTACTATTTCTATTTATAAACCATTTATAAATTT